TAAATCCTACGGCGTGTCAGATTTGATCTGAAGAGGGGCAGTGGGGAAACACAGCAATTTTTAAAGCAATGGTGAAACGGATGAGGACCGTGGTTCTCATTTTTACTTTCTTTCTTTGCAGACCACTTCAAAAGCGCAGGTGGTTTCAGTGGACCACTTAAAATAAAAATGTTCTTCACCCACAGCACAATCGGTATTGCATTATGAAAATCATAGGCCCTAAGTCAGGCCACTGAAAAGTGTCCCTGTACTTGGTAGAGTTTTAGGGAAAAATTAGTAGAGTCTACCAGTGTCATATTATGAAAATTCCCGCCCCCCACTGATCTCTGTTGTCAGAAGAAGAAGAAAAATTAAGTGCAGATATTCTCAACTGTTCTGCAAATCTTTCTGCATACCAAATGAATGGAACTCCCACATCACACTTCAAAAATCCCTGTTCTAGGGTGTCCAGAGAAGATTCTTGAAAATTGGCAGGGTGGTCAATGGGCTTTTTCTCCAATGACTATGGTTGTGAGTGGCTGCTGGAGTCCTCAGTTTCACTAATGCAGATTTTTGAAAGATTGCTTTTTGCTTCAGTGTTGACCTGCGTGCATATATTCTTTAATTGTTATTATTTTGTAGAATGCCCCTTACTGGAGCTATTCTCTGCCACTGTGCATGCCCTGCAGCATATCCAAATCTGCTCCAGAGGGAGGAAAGTCCCATTTCGCAAACAGAATTCATTCTGCTTGCCTAATGAGTTTCTTAGTGCTACATTGTATACAGCCCATGTCAGGGAACTGACATCGGAGCAAAATAGAGAGGCGAGGCTCTCCAATGATGCCGGAGAAGGAACCAGTACAGGAGGAGAGAGGGCTCCCGCGGGGGAAGGAAAATCAGGTGACACCAGGAAGAAAGGAGGGTTGGAGAGCACTTCGGAGGGGAGGCTCCGAGACTCTTCAAGTGAGGTTAGTGAGGAGAGTGGAGGACCACCGATACGCACGCCCACTCTGCGCAGAAGGCTGCCGCGCAGAGAGGCGAGAAGGAGGCTGTCCGTTAAGGAATTTTTATGTTGGAAGAAGTTTAGGAAACGCCCACTGACGGATTCTGCCAGCGACTGAAGCAGTCGTGCCCAAGGGGGGCTGCTCAGCCGGGGAAAACACAACTGCCTCACGCAGTTTGGAGCAGGTGGAGGTTACACACAAGCAACCCCAATTCCCATGATAGCCCATAATACCAGTTATTACCCCTTCACACATGGAAGCTTCTACATAAGCCTTATTCAGGTGTTCTCACGCCCCCAGGTATAATAACACAAATGCGAGGGAGGGGGTGAGTCCACTAGCTCTGCCCCTCATTTCTGCCCCCCCCCGGGAGTTGGAGGGGTAGCCTCTGAAGTGGAGTTCTCCTTCTACTTGTGGGGGATCCTTGTGTAATTTGGCGTACTGTACTGATCTTCCAGGAGTCTCTATTACATAGGGAGTCTACACAAGGACAGCAGGCTCCCCACTGCCTCCAGCAGTTCGCCTCCGACTAACGGAAAATGAGAAGGGTGGAACTGAGGATGGGGCAGAGCTAGCATGCTCATTCCATTCACACTCATGTGATTCTAATTGAACGGGGGATTAGAAAGTCTGGGTAGGGCTATAGTGTGTGTGTGTGTGTGCGCGCGCATGCAAGCATGTGCCAAACCTAAGAAACATTAGGAAAGAAAAATTTCTTCGGAGATTTCTAGGGACATAAACACAATGAACTGCTTAAAAGAAAAGGCATTAGTCCTGGCAGGTATTAGTCCTGGAAGGTTTTGTTAATCCTGACATCTGTAGCAGGCCCATATTAGGTGAATGCTATGCCTGTAATATGTAAATTAGGTTTAATTAGCCTTCCATATAGCTTTAAGCCATTTAAAATCAGACCTGGCCTTGGGGGGAAGTTTACAAGTGTTAATTTGTTTGTTTCATTTCTTATAAAACAACTGGACCAAGCAAACCTAATCTTTTTCTTATTATCTGGATCATTTAGAAGCTGCAGATCTTACAGTGTTTTGGATTATATCTGTGCCTAAGAGCCATCTCTTCAGCTAATAACTATTTATGCAGCTACTTGCTGTATCCCCCGAGCTAAACCATGTTGAATTATTTTTGCTGCAGTGGCACATCAGAAGGCATGGCAAGGCCGCTAATGCTGAAGGCACTCAGATGTCTCCACTGTATTGATCATTCTGCTGAGCCAGAGGAAGCTTAATTAATTTGTTTTAAAATTCCTCTGCATACCATGGATGGGTGTTACAAATCAATGTGAGCTACAGCCTTGATTCCAATCAGCTCATTATAATGCAGCTAATTACTGCATTGAGATGACTGGGGCCTTTTACTGGGGGGCTTTGCAGAAAGATGGCAGCAGCCTTGCTGTCATAATGTTTGTTATAAGGCTTCCCCATTCAAGGCTCTCTGGGGAAAACAGCCTCCTCTTCCCCACGATGCACACAGGTTTGTTCTTGCCCTGAAAAACAGTACCTTCTCGCAGCATGAGCTGTTTGTGCCAATGCAAACCAGTTTTGAAATGTATAACAAATGAGAGATCACTGACAACATTTTGCATACTATATGACATCAGGTTGTTGCCAAGTGCTCACTCAGTAATCATGGCTCTCTGTACCTGCATGAGACACACGTTTCCAAAATTGTGTTTGTTTGAGTCATGCTTTAGGTGCACACTTAGAATGATTTACATACACACCTAAAATCCATGATGTACGAAGCATGCTTTTTAGGAGGCTCTTCAACCCCCCCCCAAAAAAACAAGCTAGCTTCAAAGTAAACATCACCATTTCCCACCAACATTAAACATATCAACTCTTCCAAGCCTGCAACCATACATTGGTTAAGAGGAGTTATTGCAAAGTGGTGTTTCATTGTCTAAGTGGAAGGTGATTTCTTTTTAAAATCTTGCTTACCTTCACAACATCCATGTGAGATTGCTTGTCCCTTTTTTGCAGAACTGATGTTGGGGGCGGGAGGTGTGAGCAAAGGGCACTCACTAAATCGGTAGTTGTGCAAAGAAGTTAGACCTTGTCTCTCAGATCTAAATCTTCAGTGTTTCTACTAGGGACCTTATGGTTTGCAGTGAGCTTTTTTTATTAGCTCACAGGCCTTCATTTCCCTTAGCATTCCTCTGGCTCCATCCTTTACCTCTTCACACATCCATGTTCTTCAGTAAGCCCTTGCTCCTTGCACACACATGCTGTTGCTTATCCTCACTGTAGCTAGACTTTGCCACTGATGGAGAGAGGTCTGGTATGCATGGCCTGCTTTCAGACATACTCTCTGTACACCCCCCACCCCCTTTGTACTTTATGGGTATAGGCAAGACTGTTGGGTAAAATGTGCATTCGCCCCAACAATATCTGAAAAAACCAGTCTATTGTGATTATGTTGTTGTTTAGTCGTTAAGTCGTGTCCGACTCTTCGTGACCACATGGACCAGAGCACGCCAGGCACTCCTGTCTTCCACTGCCTCGCGTAGTTTGGTCAGACTCATGTTTGTAGCTTCGAGAACACTGTCCAACCATCTCGTCCTCTGTCGTCCCCTTCTTCTTGTGCCCTCAACCTTTCCCAACATCAGGGTCTTTTCCAGGGAGTCTTCTCTTCTCATGAGGTGGTCAAATATTGGAGCCTCAGCTTCACAGTCTGTCCTTCCAGTGAGCACTCAGGGCTGATTTCCTTAAGAATGGATAGGTTTTATCTTCTTGCAGTCCATGGGATTCTCAAGAGTCTCCTCCAGCACCATAATTCAAAAGCATCAATTCTTCGGCGATCAGCCTTCTTTATGGTCCAGCTCTCACTTCCATACATCACTACTGGGAAAACCATGGCTTTAACTATACAGACCTTTGTTGGCAAGGTGAGGTCTCTGCTTTTTAAGATGCTGTCTAGGTTTGCCATCGCCTTTCTCCCAAGGAGCAGGCGTCTTTTAATTTCGTGACTGCTGTCACCATCTGCAGTGATCATGAAGCCCAAGAAGTAAAATCTCTCACTGCCTCCATTTCTTCCCCTTCTATTTGCCAGGAGGTGATGGGACCAGTGGCCATGATCTTCGTTTTTTTGATGTTGAACCATATTTTGCGCTCTCCTCTTTCACCCTCATTAAAAGTTTCTTTAATTCCTCCTCACTTTCTGCCATCAAGGTTGTGTCATCTGCATATCTGAAGTTGTTTATATTTCTTCTGGCGATCTTAATTCCGGCTTGGGATTCATCCAGCCCAGCCTTTCGCATGATGAATTCTGCATATAAGTTAAATAAGCAGGGAGACAATATACAGCCTTGTCGTACTCCTTTCCCAATTTTGAACCAATCAGTTGTTCCATATCCAGTTCTAACTGTAGCTTCTTGTCCCACATAGAGATTTCTCAGGAGACAGATGAGGTGATCAGGCACTCCCATTTCTTTAAGAACTTGCCATAGTTTGCTGTGGTTGACACAGTCAAAGGCTTTTGCATAGTCAATGAAGCAGAAGTAGATGTCTTTCTGGAACTCTCTAGCTTTCTCCATAATCCAGCGCATGTTTGCAATTTGGTCTCTGGTTCCTCTGCCCCTTCGATTATAGTGACTGACAAACAGAGAGCATGAGTTACTAAAGCCCACCAACTTGTCTGTTATCCAATAAATCATATTTCTGATGAAGCAAACCCAAGTGGTTAAAGCCAAGCCAGCAAAAATACTCATCAAAAATACACAGAAGTGGAGTCCAGGATGAAAATGACCTAGAGGCAAATCTGTAGAGTTGGAAGGAAACACAAGGGTCATCTAGTACAACCCCCTGCAATGCAATGCAATCTTTTGCCCAACATCGGGTTCGAATGCATAACCCTGAGATTCTCTACCAACTGAGCTGTATCCATTCAGCATATTGTCCAGATAATAATAAACATTTTGTAAATAACTTGTTTCTGAATGAAATGAAACGTATCTGTTTTTCGCAGGAAATCTTTAGTCATTCAAATTTATCCATTCATTTACAGGCAACTGAGGCTTTTTTTGGTGTCCTGAAAACGGAGTACAGGAACCTTCGATTGGTACTACCCATATAAATAGGTAACCCAGTTTATCATGCTATTGTTTTATTTTAAAACACTTCTTTATCTAACCTCACAATGCAACTTGAGCATCTATTTTGCTCCCCAGGGAGACTTGCATCTGCAGTATGGTCATTTAGGTTCCACACTAATTTATAGGCAAGTATCCAACAAAGTTGCTCAAAGACCTCCACCTGTACTATGGAATGTCCTCTCCCTCTCCCTTTGTGCCCTTGTACCCTTCCAGTCTGTTATGGATATCCCCACCCCCAACCATCATCTGGAACAGATTTGGGGGGCACACATGGAGGGGAGAGGAAGTCCCATTTTACTGGCAGAAGTCCTTGTTATAACAGGATGAATTTGTTGGATGCAATCCTAGGCTACCAGATTTTAATGATCCAAGTATTTTTAACCAATGGGCAGATTTGGTATGTCAAGTTCCTTATACTTCACTTTTGTCATGTTATATTTTAGCTATATTGTTGGGCACCCTGAAAAACAAAATTTATACTACAATTGTGGGATACAATGATATAAATAAACAATGTGTCCAAGAGTGAGTTGCGCATATTAAACTCATAGAATAGTCCAAACAGTTCAAGACAACAAAACGGATCAGCAAGGAGTAGCATGTCAAAAAACAACCTCCAAACCAAGCTGCACTATAGCCATTACCTGGTTTAACTTTATTAATTCATTTATTTTTGGCAAATAAAAGCCTTGCTTCTGTTGAAAGTTGCAGCTGGCTGCTTTCAACAACAGCCCATGACCTTCCTGGGACAGAATGACCCGGTGGGAATGGAGCTAATGATAACTGACTCTCAACCTCATTTCCTTTCTCCTTGCCAGCAACAGAAATGTTTTGGGCACCAGAATCCCCCCCCCCGAAAAAAGTGACTTCAAAGCCTATGAGGAAGACTCAAGGCTATACTTTCAAGGAGATGAAGGAAAGACTAGAAAAGGATAAACATTATATGTATGATTTTTGCTGCATATGCTTAAGACGTTTTCTTAGGACTGCAAACCTGTGCACACCTACTTGTGAGTAAGTCCCACTGAAATCACTAATACTCACTGGTGGAGGAAGGGGGTGTGGTGGGTGCTTTTCACCCCAGGTGTCATCCCTCAGGGGGGTGACATCGCCCCCCCGGGCCGCTCGCTGTGGGCAGTGCCCTCCTGGGCCGCTTGATGCGGGCGGCACCCCCATGACGCACAGCATGTGCGCCGCTTTGGATGCCAGAGCAGCTAGCTCCTCATCTGCTGATACTTTATCAGTAGACGTCAGGACAGTAAGACCTAAAGATGTGTCCCCCACTAGCAGACTGGGAAGCATAGTCATTTTACTTATAAGTCCCAAAGATCTCAGAAGCCCCACTCCAGAAGAACTTGGCTGCCCCTGTTGAGATATGATAGGCACCCACTATGTGCACGTTCTGGAAGCAGTTGGAAGACATTCTTGTTTAAATGTATTTAAATATATTCTTGTTTTAAATGTTTTTAATTGCTGTTAATTATCTTATGTATAAATTACCTTGATTCACCTTGATATGGTTGTTTAGAAGGAGATTACTAAATTGTAATAGGAACATGGGGTCACGAAGAGTCGGACACGACTAAACAACAACAAGAAGTAATAATAATAATAATAATAATAATAATAATAATAATAATACTCAGGCAGTATCTTATATAAACCAAGATGGCAAATTATGAATAAAGATGAACCATTCATAACAAAATTGGACAGATTCACATGACAACAGTTAACTTAAAATCTAGGACAAGTTCCAGGTAAATCTTTTCAGGATAGCAAGATGATTTAAGCATCCTCTCATAGCATGACAGTTTGACACAGTTAATATCTTTTGGGGAGTATTTTGGGTTTATTTATTTATTGCTTAACTTGCACATCTATTATGAAGGATTTAACACTGCAGAGCAAAAGCATTGATGGAAGGGTATTTAGTGGGGGAAGTGGAATTAGAGTCTAATCAGTACGTGGGCCAGATATGTTCAACTTCATATTGAGTGGAGATTTCCTCAACATGTTCTGCTTAAGCTTGATTATAAAGCTTTTCAAGCCAGATATTTGCCTTTTAAATAGGGTTTAGAAGGTGTATGGGTATTACTGCACCATTATTTGTCCATGATACTGTGTGAAATACTTGTCTAGCTTTGAAATTCTTTACATCCTCGCCCCTCTCTGCCTGGCAGTTCTTGGTGCCCTCTAGACATCCTTCCTGTTGTGCATTCGGGCTGGTTTGTGCTGAGGATAGTACAGGGAAAAGGTAATGTCAGGGGTTCAGGAGCAGAGGCAAGGGCAAGGGAGGAAACAGAGAGTGAGGGGGAGGAGGCAGAAGAGAAAATGAGTGATGACGACGACCCGAGATCTCCGAGTCTTTCCAGTGAATCAGACGATTCACAGAAAGGAGCACCAGTGGCCAGGGCAAGGGGGGAGACTAGGGGGACACCCCAGGAAGAAAGGGCCAGAGGGGGCTCAGAGGGGAGCAGTGGGAAATCGGGACCAGCGTCACCCACAGAGAGCAGGGGAGAGGAAGGGTGCCAGGTATCAAGCGCTGGTAGCTCACAACAGGAGGGAGGGCACGAGTCAGGAGTGGCCACACCTCCATCGGGGAGCGAAGAAACGGTCAGACGGAAAGTGGAAGGTTGGGCGCGCGCGCCAAGTTCAAATGCACAGGAAGGTGGCGCAGTGAGCAGCCCGGAAAGGGAGCCAGGTCCTAAAGCCCGATGCAAGGAGACAGAAGGGTCCGGGGGGTCAGCGTCAGAAGAGTCCCGGAAGGAAGAGACCCCGGGGGGCAGAGGGACCCAGAGAACAACAGTCAGGCGGAAAAGGTGGAGTAAGGCTAGGGTATTAAGTTGGTGTACAGGGGGCGGAGACTCAGACGGAGCTTCGCCGGTCTAGCCCTTAAGACGTAGAGTTGCGCGCAGCAGCTTGAGAATGAAAACTGTAACTCAATAAAAGACTTTTACAAGTGACCGCTGGCTAGCGTGATCCTCTGTGAGCTAGGATCTGGAAGCAGCTCTGACAGTAAGCTCCGTCTCCCGTTGTGGGCATCTTCAGCCTCGCGGACAGAGGAAAAGGGGGGTGCCCACGACTCAGCTCACGAACGGCAGACAGGATGACGGCCGAACAGCAGATAGGAGAACTCAGAGAAGCAGTGACACGGCTGAATGCCGAAATACTTGCATCCAGGAAGAGAGAGGAGGACGCAGCTGCCGCCTACAGGGATCTCCAGGTCAGGTTGGAAGTGCTTACGAAGCAAGGGCAACTGACACCCAAACCGGAGGGGATTGGGTTGGGGCGAAGAACAGGCGGTCTAGTCTCTCACTTCGATGGGAATTTACAACTGTACCCCAACTTTAAAGCAGATGTACAGTGTGCACTGCAACTGCTGGACAAAGACTTTAGAGATGAGCAAGAGAAGGTGGGATTTATCATGTCCCATTTGCATGGAGATGCTAAAGCATGGCTGCGCAATTTGTGGAGAGATAAGGATCCAGCGCTCCAAACCGCGGATGCCTTTATTAAAGCGATGGATGGCTGTTTTTTATCTAGCATTGACGTGGATCTTGCCCGGAGGGAGGTGCATGGGCTGAAGCAAGGGAGGGCCAGCGTAAGACAGTACCAAGCCCGCTTTTTTGCTTTAGTCAGTGCCTTGGAATGGGACAGAGATTCCGCTCCAGTCAGAGATCTCTTTTGGGAAGGCTTGAGCGGCCCAGTTAAAGACGAAATTGCCAGGGGGGAGAGACCCCGGACCACGCAGGAGGTCGTTCAGAGGGCGCTGGCGGTGGGAGTGCGGCTGGAGGAACGCCCATGGAGCAGGGACGAAGGACGTGGAGGGCGCGAACCAGCGAGAGGGTTTCCCTTCGTTCCCAGGGAAGCTGCACGTGCGCAATCCACGCCTCCGCCAGGAGGGGGAGCGGAACCGATGGAGGTGGGCGGTGCCAGGGCTCAGTCAGCAACCAGAGCCACAGCACCGGGAGCAGTCAAAGCGAAGCCTCCTAGAGGGAACAGGAAGTGTTACATCTGTGAAAATCCGCAGCACATGGCGAAAGAGTGTCCCCAGAGGCTCCACAAGCACACTGCAGGCTCAGCAATGGTAACTGCAGCAACTCAGCAAGGGGAACCACAGCAGGGAAACGACGGAGTCTGGCTGGAGAGAGAGGCACTGGGGCCCAGCCAGACGTGTCAGTGAAGCAGTCCCCAGAGATTTTGCAGCCCACAGACCCCCTCCCACCCAAACCAGTAGTGAGGCTCACCGCATCGCTCCAGCTACCCAATGGACTCACCATGGACGTACCAATCACCATTGACTCAGGAAGCAATGCGGACTTTATAGGGCAGGACTTTGTCGATGCACACGCTATACAGCTGCTGCCTGCCACGCTGCCCCTGCAGGTCGTCACGGTGGATGGCAGGGAGCTGCTAGGGGGGCAGGTGGTGAAGCAAACGCCACCAATGGTGATGCGACTTGGAAATCACAGGGAAATCATCAGTTTTAATGTCACCAGACTGTCGGACACGCCTATTGTCTTGGGCATGAGTTGGCTGGACAGACACAGTCCGACATTGGCTTGGTACCAGCGGCAGCTAGTCTTTGGCTCATCATACTGCGCTGAACACTGCATTCTGCCCCGGCAGGAGGGGGAGGAGGAGGAAGCGCAGCTGCAGCTGGGGACGCTGCAAGCAATCCCCCACAAATACGCAGGATTTTTTGAGGTCTTCTGCGAGAAGGAAGCGGATAAGGTACCCCCCCCCACAGATCATATGACTGCAAGATTGACCTACTGCCAGGGGCGGCGCTGCCCAAGGGGAAGCTGTATTCCATGTCTGAAGACGAACTACAGGAACTCAAGGAGTTCATAGATCATAATTTGGAGCGCGGTTTCATCCGAGAGTCCAAGGCGGTGGGAGGCAGTCCTGTATTCTTTGTTAAGAAGAAGGACACGCCCCAAAAAAGACTTGTCGTGGATTACAGGATTTTGAACAGTGTG